TTAAAGAGTTTATAATAAAGATGAGTGACTTTACGGGAGTTCTACAGCAATGAATCAAGAATAAAGACACTAGACTTGGCCTGTGGCCCAGCTTCCCGAACATTTCAACTGACAAAATGTCTCAGTCTGAACACAATTCCTCCACTATGAGATCTGTGGGTACACTAGTTAACATTGGCAACCACCTCAGAGGTGCTCAGGGAGCATAATAAATAAGGGGCTATTGAGGTGGGGGGGAGGTGCTTTGGCTCCCTGGGATTAGAGAAGAAAAGACGAACATCAGCTATCAAAGTGAGCCAAATAATTGGTGAGGACAGATGTCCGGAGCTCATGCTGAAGGCGCGACAGGACTTCCAAAGTGGCGAAAACCACATACCATCCTGCTGCCACATTATGTGCCTATTGCAGAACCTCTTGCTGTTCTCAGAAAGGACAGGGAAGTTCAAGAAGAGTTTCTCTTGCATTTCCACATTCACCAGGTTTTAGTGGTGCAGTCTACTAGTGGATATAATATGAGTGGTACCATTAAGAGATTCTAGTAGAAAAAAATATAAATGCCAATGAACATATAGAGAGATGTGTTCAACTTCAAATCAAGGAGATGCAAAAATAATACAGCCATAAAGTATCATTTTCACATACCAGATGAGCCAAAGTGAAAAAGATTGGTAATGCTCAGTGTTGGCTAATATGGTGGAAAAGCAAGTATTCTCAAAAACGACTGAGAGTCAAAGTGTGAGCTGCTATGCCCAGAATCTTATGAGAGAAATTTGCCATTGCATATCAATCAAAATTTAAAACACACATCCTCTTTGACACAGCAATGTTATTTCTAGGATTTTATCCTAAGGAAATGATCTGACAAATATGTAAAAATACATGTGTAAAGTTGCCCATCACAGCCAAAAGTACTTTGAAATACCATCAGTGGACAACAGGAGAGATTTGCTTATAGTATAGTTCATCTAAACACAATTTAAACATTAAAATGGTTAAGTGCAGCTGTAATTATCAAAAGGAATTTATCCATAACATATTTTTAGGTGTAATGGAAAAGTGAGCTTAAAGAAAGAATATAGGAATGACTCCATTTTTTGTTTAAAAAAAAATACGGATTTGCCAATATGAGTGTGCATTCTTTTAAGAATAGGTTGTGATTGATTTTAATTTGTTTTGTCATGACTCATAGTGTAAATGAACGTATAATATCCACAATAAGTATATATGTATCAAGAGCAAAATGGGAAGTCTTGAAGAAATAATATGTTCAGTGGTATACTGGTAAATAGTTGACAACTGGTTTTCGGGTGGAGCAGGAAGGAAATCCCGTGTAGCATTTACCAATTACCTATGGCATAAATATTTCCAGCTTTTTTTCACTAATATAATGTCACTGAATGTGGAGTTGGTCAAAATGTCAGTAGCACACCATGATGTAGTTTTCCATGATACAAATACAAGATATGTAAATAATCACAAGAGTATAGCTAATACTAAATGCAGTAAAATAATCAGAAAGTGATGAGTTTGTGTATGCATTTATAAGTCTGGAAGGAAATTCACCAATACAGTACTATTGATAAGGTCTGGGTGGAAAGTTCATGAATCATATTACTTCTTTCTTCAGACCTTTATATGTCATTTCAATATTTTTACAATAAACATATTAACTATAATCAGAAAAAGTTCAAGAGTTTTTTTTCTTATTTGCTAAAATTAGGGGAGAAAAAATCAAGGACATCATTTTTAAATCAAGTCTCACTGTAACAAAACACTTTCACCAAAGGAATAAGATTTTATTAGGGCATAATAAGGATATTAGTAAGCAATGTTCTAATCAATGTTCAATCACGGTGTTAAGAAATGAGCACTCAGTGTTTCTAAGGCCTTTCAAATATAAATATGAAACATCAAAATTCAAAGGAATTCAGGCCCCCAGTCCATCTGATACTTTCCTTTTATAAATTAGGAAACTGAGTCCCAAGACAGATAGGTGTTTTCCCAAAGTAAACCCTATAAGGCAGGTTATAAGGTAAGTCAGGTCCTCTCCATTTATAAATGATGGCTATATCTTATAAATGAAAGTATATATTCCTCACTTGACATTATTTAATGAGAAAAGTTGACCTTATTTGGAGGGAAGATAATATTCATTCAATTGATTGGTTACTTGCTGAGGCCCCGACTCCTCCTGTTTTTGTTTAGTTAACAACAGCTTACACTTCCCCAGAATTTTCTAGTTCTCAAAACTGTTCCACACAGATAGTCTGAGTTGATTTTTTAAGAGCCCTGTGAGGCAAGTAGGGTAAGAAAGACCACTCCTATTTTACAGACATGAAAACTGAGGCTAGTAGGCAAGCGGAGAGCCCAGGGTTATTGAGAGCTGGCCCTCCGGACCAGTTATGGCAGGTCAGGGGACCAGGCTCCTCTTTGAGACTTTTATTAGGCAGACATCTGAGTGAACCTTCTTTGAAGACCAGTTTCTCTCCTTTCCTTCCTGTCTTCCTAACAAATTCTATCTTCCATTGGCTCCTGTCTCATTTTGCACTTTCTGCTTGTCTAGAGTTGCTCTTTATTTCCTGTTTCTTTTATTCTAGAATACAAGATAATCCTAAACGTCTTTCTTGAATTTGTCATCATTTCTATCATTGTAGTAATGACTTCTGTAAAGATCCAAACGGTGTATATTCTAAAGCAAGAAACTATAAATCCTTTGGTGTGACACATGTCTAGACAATTTGGGCTTTCTAAAGGGATTAATATTGAAGTCAGAGGAGACAGCTTATTCAGGAAAGACAACACATAATGGAACAAATCCTAGGGAATCTAAGATCAGATATTCTCCTAAGCTTTGTTTTATTAAGGGAGGAAGTGTATTCCCCTGCTAAGAGTACAGTGTCTTTCAGGAAGACCTGAAAAGGGTTTTGGTGGGCTATGTGTAGATCCAGAGAAAAAAATGCTATCAACCTAAGCTAATTTATATGGTGCCTCAGCTCCTGGACTTACTGGTCAATGAAACCAGACTGGCACATTCTCCATGCATCAGTTTCCTTATCTTTAGTGGGAACTTCAGCACCCACCTCACAGGGTATACCAAAAACTAAATTAGCTTGTGGCCAAGAAAATATTTTACAAATTAAAAATCACTATAAAGGTATGTGGAATCCATTTAAGGTATCTTGATAATTTTTGAAGTTTACTGCTCTGGGTAAAGGTAATAGAATAGTAGGTTAAGAAGGGACGGAGTGTCAGACCCAGCAACAGGCAGATGGCCAGGCTCCAGGCAGAAGAGGATGGAGAGCTCAAGGGTGTATACTAATTGCTGCACCTCCACTGAGATGACTGGTCAAATGACTCCTCTCCAGAAAACACAGCGTCCTTTTCCATAGCAAAGGTCTTCTCCTAACTGGGCTTTCAGCAGCAGGCAAAACGTAGGCTGATACTCTGACGGATTGTGTGGTACTATCATAAAGATGATCTGTTAAAAAAATTGCTTCACTGAAATGTGTAGACGGAGATAGCAATTTCCCTAAAACTAGGAATTTCTGCTAGCTAGCAGATGACTCTTGAATGACAAAGAATGGAAGAACATAAATGAGTGTATGAGAAAAGAGTGGGTGTGTTTTAATCTAAGGATTTGAGAGAGAATAAAAAAACACTTGAGGGAAGGAGGCCGTGCCTTTTGGTGAAGAATATTCAATGAAAAAAAAAATATTCAAGATGAGGATCAAATTTCCAACTTTAATATAGATATCAATGGAATATTCACTCTCTAAAGAAAACAGAAGATACAAATATGATATCCAACAAAGGGCAGAAGGTCCTTTCTGGTGACATTTGTGTAGAACCTAAAGGCAACTGTCATTTGGCAGTCAAATCTGGAAGTAAAGAGAAGGTGAAGAAACCCATGTAAATTTGGGTGCTTTTTATTCCCTTATAATTTTTTCGGCTTTGATAACAGAAGGATCTACTTCTGAAGGTCCAAAACATGTTGCTGCTATAGGAACAGGTAAGCAGATTAAACTTGAAAGACCAGTTTAGCAAAAAAGAATTTAATAGTCAAGACTAAAGCAATTAACCAAGAAAACACTTTAAGTAAAGATCATTTGGGCTTGTTATTTATATATTAATTCCAGGAAGATAAAATGCTATTATAGAATGAGGGTATCACATTCTAACATTTTAATTACACCATTACTGGTATAAAAGACTGTGCTTTTGCAATTAGCAAAAAGGCCCTATTAAACAGAAGTACACATTTCTATCTCTCTCTTGATTACCTTGTAATTGAGAAACAGAGCCTTAAATTCAGCAAGAGTATAAGAATCATCTTTGATTTTCCTATAGTTTCCCAGATGGGAACACATCTAAATGAAAAGAGATAGTTAACTATAGAAAGTTTTCTGTAACCATCTCTATACCTAGAGAGCTACAAGTAAAATTCTAGAAGTAAACAGAAATGTGTGTAGGCTGGTAATTGTTCATATTTTATGTTTTCCCTGTCCAACAGTCTTTGTGAACACAGATACGTGAGAAGAAAAGACGGTAAAAGACCAGCTGCACTTCTGTTTCTCTATGGATATTCTGCTTCTCCCTATCAGGAATACACTGCTCCCCACATTAGGGATTTACTGAAATTATTTGAAATTTTTAACAGAACTTGCTATACTGGTGAAGCTCAAAAAGACATAAGAAAGTGGCACTGTGCTTCACTCCCTTTCTGTTTTATTTAAAAAGAAAATGTTCTTGATAAAATGAGTAAAATATTTTCATTCTAGAAAATTTCTGCTGTCAGAGGTTACATTTATGGAACAGAAAGATTTCTTGGACATTATCTTTCCTCACATAACATGAGAGTCAAATTGAAGAGAAGTGCATGAGTGTCTGAGTGAGTGGGTGAGTGCGTGAGTGAGTGAGTGAGTGAGTGAGTGAGTGTGTGTGTGTGTGTGTGTGTGTGTGTGTGTGTGTGTGAGAAGAGAGGACTGTGGCTAGAATCTTACCATCTCACTCTCTTCTCCTTCATTGAGCAAAGCATGCTGGCCATCCTCAAAGGGGTTCCCCATGAAACGGTGATTCCACTTCTCCTGCCTGACCCTCTTGAGCAGATGCTTCCAGGACGAACTTGCCGAGTCACTGTCGCTCGCCAGCTGGCTGAATGTGTTAAGGATCCTCCAGGTTAAAACTCCTTCTTGACCGCGTACCTTCTCTCAGCAAATGGTAATACTTAGCAAACTGAACTCCTCCCACAAGTCACCCTCTGTTTAGAGGAGTGTCTGCCTGCTCCTTGCCTACTGTGTTCTCCCAGAGCAGCTGTCCCAAAAGAGGCTGCTCCCATGCCGATCTTTTTGTACCCAACTTACAGGGAAAGAACTTGTTGCCTGCCCAGTGCCTGCCAGCGTATCTGACTGCAAATCCAACAGGACAATGCAGAGTTGGCAGGACTTTCCAAGGAGTGAGGAGCAGATGCAAGAACTGCCAGCTCACTGCTTTTTCCACAGAGGCTCAGGGACTGGGGTGGACGGAGGCTAACAGAGCTGCAGATTTTATTTAATTAATGAAAGCCCCAGCCCATCAGCTTTTAATAATATCCTCATTCATTTTGCTTACAAAAGCTACAAATTATAACAAATCCTCTTCAAAAGGTACTCATAATCACATTTCTGTGTGCATGCAAAGGCACTCTACTTAATGTATATGTGGAATTAAGTTTACTTTTGCAAAAAGCATGTACACAAAGAATGAAGATATAATTAAACTACTTTATGTAGTCTCCTTTCACTAAAAAATTGGTGGCTAAATTCTTAAGAAAGTCTAGAAATAAAATATTCAACTGACTATGTGGCAAGACTTTTTAAATTTCTTCACACATTCATTCAATACACATTATTTGAACACAGGAACTATATATATGAATGAAGTCATAATTGCTACCCTCAGAGTGATGTGGGAATTTAAACATGCAAACAAATATAATAAAATAAAACAAATGTTTCAAATGGTTTTTTATTATGAAAGCTGGAACAGAAGTCTGACATAACTGTCAGAAATCCCAGTGTGATGTAGGAACACACATCCACTTTGGCTCAGGAAAAAAAACCTGGATTCCAGCTGCTCATTGGCACTGGTCGAGCTGTGTGATCAGCTGTGTTAACCTTTAGGAGTTGGCTCTTCTCATCCAGTAACCGGAGGCTTGAATGCGGACTTGTGAAAACATATTGTGCAGCACTGATCAAGCGCTGTTGGTATAATTAAACGAAACATCCAATTTAACAGTAGGCGGTGGAGCATCATGGTTAAGGGCGTTGCTCTGGATTTGGAGGATCCAGGTTCAAACTGGGGTTTTACCAGTTGTGCCACTTTGGGATAATGAGTTTCATAAACCTCATAAGCCTCCATTTGCTCATATATAAAATAAAGATGATGGTAATAGAACTTACCTCTTAAAGCTGTTGTGTGAGGAGTAGTGCCTGGGAAACAGAATGTATTCAATAAAGGAGTTATTTTTTACCTTCACTGTGTCCACTCATTCTCCTTTAAGTTATGCACAACTGTTGGCACTGATATCCCCACCCTGACATTGCTAATGCAAACAAGACCAAGACTAAAGTGGGTGAGTGCACATATGTATGTATAAAACCTTGAGCAAATGGTAAAGTATAAATTAGACAAACATAAAAATGATAAGCTATTGTAATATTAGTTATTATATATATAAATACATATATACATAATGCTGTTCTCTGAATTTCCAAAAATTATTAGCACAATTTAACAAAATAAACTTAAAAATGCAATTAACATTATATCTCAAGATCAAAATATGAGAAGTATGGGATTTCTTTTTAAGGGAATGAAAATGTCCTGGAATTTGAGAGTGGTTATGGCAGGACAACTTTGTGAATACACTAAAAGTCACTGAATTTGTACTTTTATTGAGAGAATTTTACAAATGTGAATTATATCTCAATAAAAAGAAATTATACCCCCCAAAAGTAAATGAACATTGTAGAGCTCTCATAGGCAGTCATTTAAATATTTAGCAGGGAAAAAAATAAAACAATATTTCAAACTCTATCTCAACTGATAGGGATTGAGGAGTGTTAGTATGTAAAATGGTAACACTGTACCAGTGCCGGTATGCAGGTGAGAGAAGAGTGTTTAATCTTACTATCTATGATTGGTAATTCAGGCATTTATCTGGCTGGGTTCCTGAATATACTTGGCAACTCACGCAACATTGTAGGGTTAGGATGGGTGTGTAATTGATCAGGAGTTACAGGAAAAACTCCACAGGATCTCATTTCATTAAACAAATCGTGTTATATGGTTACAGTATTAAAGCAAAATAAGTCTCTAAGAACATAAAAAACTTTGTGAAAACCAAGAGACCACAGAAAATCATTTTCAGCAATTCAGTCCAGGACAATTGAAGACTTTGAAATAGTGAGTTTTCTCACATCCCTCCAGGAGTTCCAATGGTAAAACATCCCAGTGCCTCTATGGCAGCATGACATATGGGCAGTACCCTTCTTCAGTTGGCACTGCTCGTCTACAAGCATGAGTATATACAAACAGGGCTAGATTCCGTGTAAAAAGCAAACAAAATTTACCAAACACTTCCATATGTCAGGCACTGTCGTAAGCATTTTTCATGTCATTGCGCACTTCTTACAACAGCTTCTGTGGTCGGTACTATTATAATCATCCCCACTTAGCAGAAAAGGAAGCCAGGGTAAAGGAAATCAATAATTTGCCTACATTCAAACACTCAGTGAAGAGTTGATATTTGGGCCAGCCAATGCAGCTTCCCCAATCCATGTCTCAGCTATGAGGCTACCACCAAAGTGCTCAGAGAGGGATGTTTATAGAGCCAGGAAAACCTTTTTGTGGAGGAAGTACTTGAGTAGGGCCTTGAAACAGACAGGAAAGGCTCCAATAGGTGAAGATGGTGGCACCCAGAAGAGGATGGACTTGGAGCAGGGGAGTCATCAGAAATGTACACACTTGTGCAAAGTGCCTAACCTTTGCTATATATAGCCAGGGTGTGTGTGAAGGAAAAAGAACTGAGTGAGCAAGATGGTGCAGGAAATACAGATTGAGGCCATTCCATGGAAATCTTGAATTTGAGGCTAGAGTCTGGGCCTAATGCAGTAAGTAAAGATATGAGTGAAGGCCAGCTGATGTCATAAATATGCACATTATTCTTTATCATCCTGGGCATAAATATTACAGGAATCATTGCATAAGCAAGTTCTAAAGTGACTCATTATTTCTAGCTAAAATTATATGCAATAAACAGTTTCCTTGAACCCTGTAAACTAAATTTTCTATTTCCTTCTAGAACATGGTTTGAAAGTTTCTTTTTGTGAAAAAAAAATTAATAGGCTTTATCTTTTAAAGCAGTTTTAGTTTCACACCAAAACTGAGCAGAAGCTACAGAGGTTCCCCATATACTCCTTGCATGGACATGCTCCCCCACTATTGGCATCCCCCACCAGAATGGTACATTTATTACAATTGCTGAACCTACCTTAACATGTCATTTTCACCCAAGGTTTAGACTAGGGTTCACTCTTGATGTACATCCTATGAGTTGACAAATGTATGACATGTTTCAGCATTATAGTATCATACAGAGTATTTTAGCCATGTTAAAAATTCTCTCTGCTCCCCCTCTTCATCCGTAACTTTCCCCAAAACCCTGGCAAGCACTGATTCTTTTACTGTGTGAATAGTTTTGCCTTTTCCAGAATTGTAGAGCTCTCATAGGCAGTCATTTAAATATTTAGCAAGGAAAAAAAATAAAACAATATTTCAAACTCTATCTCAACTGATAGGGGTTGAGGAGTGTTAGTATGTGAAATGTAACACGGTATGCAGGTAACTCGCCTGCATACCGGCGAGAGAAGAGTGTTTAATCTTACTATCTATGATTGGCAATTCAGGCATTTATCTGGCTGGGTTCCTGAATATACTTGGCCTTTTCCAGAATGTTATAGAGTTGGAATCATACCATATGTTGCCTTTTCAGATGGACTTCTTTCACTTACTATATTCATGTTTCCTCCATGTCTGTTCACAGTTTGATAGCTCATTTCTTTTTAGACCTGAATAATATTCTGCTGTCTGAATGTACCACAGTTTATTTATCTATTCACCTACCAAAGAACATCTTGGTTGCTTCCAAGTTTTGGCAATTACAAATAAAGCCACTGCAAGCATTCATGTACATGTTCTTGTGTGACCCTATGTTTTCAACTTATTTAACTATGTCATTAGAGAACTGCAAATTAAAACAATGTGATACCACTACACACCTACTAAAATGGCCAAAACCCAAAATACTGACAACACCCAGTGCTGGCAAGGATGTGAAGCAGCAGGAACTCTCATTCATTGCTGGTGAGAATGCAAAATGATACAGCCACTTCGGAAGACAGTTTGGCAGTTCTTTACAAAATTAAACATCTTACCATATGATCCAGCAATCACACTCCTTAGTATTTAACCCAAAGGAGTGGAAAATTTATTCTTTAAATCAGTTTGTCTTCCCTTAGTTTTTCCTGTTCAATATTTTTATTCTGCACTACATGTGCCTCACAGTGTGTGATATGGCATGGTGAAAATACCGGACATGGATATAGTGCAGTCTGAACTGGAAGCTTTTTATTTTGCTGACATTCCATTCACTCATTTAATTAATGCTTAACTTCAGTATGCCAAGACCTGTACTAGATGAAGAATAGAGATTAATAAAATACACCCTTGAAAAAATTAGTCTATTAGAAAGCAAGACCAACACTAAAAGATAAATTCCAAAACATGTGCTAATTACAGAGGAGTGTCAGAAGCAGCTCAGGGAGGAGGTTAGGCCAGGAAGGCTTCATGGAGATAGGGAGTTCTGTGCTTGCCTCGATTTATGCAGGCAGATAAGGAAAACATCATTGACAAAAGGAGACTGAAGGCAAGGGCACAGAGGAGGATGTGCCCAGGAGCCCATAAGGAGACTGTGAAGTATACGCATACACTGACAATTTAGCATTGAGAGGAATACCTAAGAGGAAAGTTGCTTCTGGCATTCTTAGTTCTTCTCTCTCTGTACTCATTTCCTCTTAAATACTTGATCTCAAATAAGAATGGAAAGCGGGGGAGGGAGACAAAGAAAATAAATAATTTGATGATCTTGTATCTCAGCTTGCCTTCCTTTATTCCAAGAGCATGTCTGCTGCTCTGAGCAGTTTTCAACCTCTTTGGTGGTAATAGTAGATATTTAGAGAACATGATGGAAGTATTGGTTTCTGCCAAGATTATGAGGATGTTCATAGTTCACTTGCTAACCCATTTAGATGGTGTGCAGGTAAGTGGTAATAATGTTTCATTATATACTAATTTCCACCTTTCATCTGAG